TTTTTTTTTTCTATCATACATTATATTCAAGTATGAAGGTTAGACTACCTCGTGGTCGTGCCAGTTACAGAACTAACATTGATTATCGTTTCATTTGATGGTTTTTTACTTGAGTGAGTGTATATCAGGGTTGCCAAACCTCCTGACTTGACTACGGGACTCTTGATTTTTGAACTTTTCTCTTGAAATCAGGAACTGATTTTAAAGATTTTTTCCTGATTATTAATTCTTTTCTTACTTAAGTTTTGCCGACGTTTTAAGTACAAAGAATGAGAAAAAAGAGTGCAGTCACAACTATATATATATGATAGCAAACGAGCGACATATATCTCTAATTCTTCTTTTTTATTTCTGTGCTATCATACTTTGTATAAAACTTATTGTCTAGTAGAGATATGACTTGAGAGTTTTATTTTAGTATGGTAAAACGAACACAACGTAGTAAAAGTCTGAAGTCATATTTCACTCGACAATACATTTTATACAAGGTACGATAAAAAAAAATAAATAAATAGAGAAAACAGTTTTGTACCAGGGTATACTTTCGGAGAGCATTACAATAAATAGTTAGAAATATGATCGATAAAGAAGAGGCTACTGAAAAATTTCAATTCGTAAATTTTCCATCTCTACGAGCCGGTTAATTTTGATAGACTCGATATGATAACAAGAATAGAATAAAAAAATAATCTTAACAGATGTCGAGCTCAAAATTAAAATGAGAAAATGTGTGAACTAGTGTAGATTTGTTAAACAAACGTATAGCAATAATAACAAAAAAGGATATAGGAGGTGCTTTATTCTGTTCCGTTTCGATTCTTCGGCGATTTCTTAAGACACACTTATATCCGTTTTATTTTCCTTCTGATTTAAAGAAACAACTCTCCTAATTTTTCCCTTTATTTTTTAACGAAAAACTCCTGATTTCTAAAATTTAGATTTGGTAACCGTAGTGTATATAATGGTTATTCGCCAGTACCGCCTGGCTACTCCAGTTGTCGATGATGATGATAATACTCATGCAAGACAGCTGTATCGAATAGTAAATGATAGTGAAACAAACAAGAACACAGTATTTTTGCTCGATAAGGAAGAAACTAAACATGTCTCTGAATTGATTCCATCCACACCTCGTTGGTGGCTTGTAATACCTTGTTTATTATTAATCACATTGGCTTCCGCACCCGATCTTCTAATTCTCAACGATTTCATTGTTCGTCGCTACGAACGTCAATATGGACTCGACACGTCAGATAGAACTCAACGAAGTACATGCCATGAATCGTCGACTGCAACATCTGGTTACTGGTATCTTGATGAAGATTCATCTGCCGGAGCTAATTATAATAAGGTACAACAGCATGCCGCAAAATTCAATGTTAAAAATTCGCTTGCTACATTAATTCCATCTCTATTCGCCATTGTTGTACTTGGTTCAAACTGCGATACCATTGGTCGACGGCCACTACTTTTCTTGCCATTCATAGGTAAAGTAGTTCGATATTCACTTATGCTAATTATTGTAACTCATGATCTTCCTGACGGATATTTAATGGCTGCTCATGCGTGTGAAGCTGTATTTGGTTCTTTTGGAATTGTTATGTTGAGTGCACTTGCTTACATTACCGACTGTACACACGAGTCGGAAAGAACTCGACCATTTTTATTAACCGAAGTAATCACTTTAGTAGCTCGTGTTGTACCTGTCCTTGCTGTTGGTTTATGGTTACAACATTTTCTTTACATAATTCCAACAAGCGTCTGTCTTGGATTGAGTGTTATCGGAATGCTCTACGTGTTATTTATACAACCTGAATCTGTGCAAAATATGTAAGTCTTTTCTCGGAAACAATTTTTCTTGCCAAGAAGATTTATTCTGGAGAACATTTTTGAAAAATATTTTACTATAGGGAGACTATACTATAGTGTTAATTTATAGATAATCAACTTTCTTTTCATGTCTAGGCGTAATAAGTCTATAATTCGGCAAATTGCATCTATTCGTCTTCAACCAATAGTTCGTTGTATTCAGGTATTTCTTATCAAACGTCCTGGTCACAACCAACAACATCTACTTCTGATCAGCATCGCTAATATTCTTCTTTTGCTTATGTTGTTTGGTTACATGTCTATGTTTGCTCTTTTCGCATATGGACGTCCGTTTTGTATGAATGCACTTGATGTTGGCTTGCTTGCAACAACTCATGCAATCAGTGCCTGTGTGTTCATTTTCATAATCAGTTTATTCAGAAAGAAACAGTTGGACAAGACCTATTTCTTACCTATCATCGGTCTACTTGCTTTTGCCTGTGATCTTCTTCTTTTCGGGGTGGTCAAATCGTCCTGGTTGCTCTATATTGGTTTGTTTATTAAATAAGTTTTATGTTTCTTTGATAATAGAAAATCTTTTTTATTCTAGCTGCATTTATTGGAAGTTTCTTTTTTATTACGATGCCAATATTAAGATCTAAATTGAGTAGACTGGTAGAGCCGACCGAATATGCCATTGTTTTTATTGCTGCGGCCTTCATCGAAGCAGGTGGTGATAAGGCGATGGATGCCGTATCGAATGCCATCTACAATGCATCACTTCACTTCTTACCCGGACTCATTTTTCTTGTACTAGCTCTCCTAGGTATTTTTCCTTTGCTTATTATGAGGTGAGTAACATATCTTAAGTTTTCATAGATCTTTATTCGGATATCTTTTATCTAATTTATAGTTATCTGGCTCTTTCTGAAAAGAAGACAGTACCAATAACAACAACAACAACAACAACAAATAACAATACGAAAGTGTAGCATTCGATCTTACCAAATACTTCACAACAGTATCTATCAAGTCAAATACATTTAATATTGTAATTGTTCTTATATGTGATAAAATAGAAGTCATCCTATGTTCTTAAGTTGTTTTCTAATATAATGCGAGTATGGGTGTATTGTGTCTACGATACTCACACCCTATTTTTGTAGATCAATGTCAAATAAAAATTACTTCTATCTACACATCGCTTTTTACTGAGAAAATGAATATGAATATTAATAAACAAAAATATTCTAACAGATTTGCTATCATATATTGACGATGGATGACTAAATCTTTTCAGGTAACTATGTTTATTATCTCGTTAAACAACATTATATCGGTGTTCTTATCTGAAACATGTGACTAAACAGAACAGAAGTTTATATATATAAGTGTTATAACCATGATTATTATTACAGTTAGTATAAAATTCTATTCTACTATGAAGTCGTATATTCTTTTATGTGTTTTTCTCATCAGTGGATATTGTTTTCCAACATCAAACGAATCTTGGTCATCATTCAAAGGTGTTTTTAAAAAAAAATATTTCTCCAATGAAGAAGAAGCAAATCGGTTTGTTAAAAATTTTAATTTAAAAAAACTAAATAACTTGTATTCATAGTCGCCAAATTTGGGAAGAAAATGTAGCAGTGATTCATAAACATAATCTTGAAGTTGATCTTGGTCTTCATAGTTATACACTTGCAATGAATCAGTTTGGTGATATGGTAAATATGTATATAAAGAAAAAAAATCTTTTTTTTTAATTCTTTGTATTCAAAGACGAATGAAGAATTTCGAAAACAAATGAATGGATATAAAATGCCTTCAGAAGATGAAAGCAGTTATCAAATATTTTCAGCACCCGTAAATCTTATTTTACCAGATAGCGTTGGTAAATTCGTTGTTTTTATTTTAATGTATTCTATAATTTGAAAAAAATAGATTGGCGTTCAAAAGGTTATGTCACATATGTAAAAGATCAAGGTCAATGTGGTTCATGTTGGGCTTTTTCAACAACTGGTGCACTTGAAGGACAACATTTTGCAAAAACATCACAACTTGTTCCACTTTCCGAACAAAATTTAGTTGATTGTTCATTACTTAATTTTGGATGTAATGGTGGTAATCAAGATCTTGCCTATGATTATATTAAAATGCATCATGGAATTTCTGATGAACAATCTTATCCATATTGGGCTGAACGTGATATTTGTCAATTTTCTAAAATACATATTGCTGCTACAACTACAGTTAATATTTATATTTTAAATTATTGTTTATTTATTTATTTATTTAAGGGTTATACTAGAATAAAAAAACATAATGAAACAGATCTTCAAGCTGCAATTGCTACTATTGGTCCAATAGCAATTTCGATCGATGCTTCACAAAGTTCATTTCAATTTTATTCAAGTGGAGTCTATAATGAACCTAATTGTTCAACAAAAAGACTCGATCATGCTGTTTTAGCAGTTGGATATGGAACATTGAATTCGACTGATTATTATATTGTTAAAAATTCATGGGGTAACAATTGGGGAACTCGAGGTTACATACTAATGAGTCGAAACAAACAAAATCAATGTGGAATTGCTACGTCAGCTCTTTATCCATTGGTTTAATATGATTTTCTTCGTTTCTTTTTTGAGAGAAAATATTTCGAAATGTTCAGCTTGAAATTGTAACTTCTAAAATAAAATAGAAAATAATGTGTCTCTGTTCTAACCGACTGTGAGGCGTCTTGAGGGTATGCGTGTGAGTATCTACTCTCGTCTTATACCCTTATTCACACCCACACCCTCAAGATGGTATAATAATTTATCTTCAGAGTTTTATTGCTTGAAGCAGTTCGAAGTGAATATCATTGGAAAAGATTGTTTTTTTCTTCAAACTAATTATTATAGTCAGTCAGTGGAAAAGTGGGGATAATGGTTTCAGATTTTTCCCCTATAAACACTTCAATGCTCTCTTTTATATCATGTTTCACAAAATATCAATCATACACAATATTATCGTTGTCTTTAGTTTTCTTTCATCCTTTCTTATTACGATTCGGATGAATAGGCCCAACTGATATCGTATTCCTTGTCGTTTACCCATCACTATTTACTTTTAAATATACACGTGGTTTCTACCTCTATTATAACGTAGATGGATATATTCACTACTATTTTTTGATTATTCTCATTGCTCTTTCTTATTTTTTTAAATAATAAATGAATTTTAACGAAGGAAAAACGATTTGTGATTTACAATTATTCAACTTTGATTTTTAGGTTATTTAAATTAGTTTTTCTTGTTCGAAAATACTCACAACTCTTTTCTATCGTCTTTCTTCTATCAACAGATATCAAACTATTTCGAATTTAATTCAAAACTCGTTAGCATAATCTGTTTCTTACTTGAGAATGTCGAATCATTATACCGTATGTATTGTTGGAGCTGGTAAGAAATGAAAATTATTTATGAAAGCCAAAGTTTAACTATGATTGAGTGTTTTATTCTAGGTATTTACGGATTAATTGCAGCAAAAACATTATTAGAATTATATCCAGATATAAACTTAGTGATATTTGACGCTAATAGTTCATTGGGTGGGACATGGAGTAAACAACGTATATATCCTGAACTTTTATCAAACAGTTCTTTTGATACGTACGAGTATAGTGATCTCGCTATCAAGGAAACTATTGATAAAGATACAGGAACACATCAGAACGATAATCTTATAAGTGGTGCAGAACTCAATCATTATCTAGAAACATATGCACAAAAACATCATATTCGTGAACATATACAGTTTAACTCTCACGTAACAACTATTGAAAAACAAGATAAACTATGGCAATTGCAAGTACAAAAATTCGAAGAACAACACAAATGGGTATCAGTTGAGTAGTTAATTCTTGCTACTGGAATGTTGGTAACACCATCATTACCAAATAATATAGCAACAGCTCCAACTTTTACTGTTCCACAATATCACAATCAAGATCTCGCTAAAATCAAAATTCGAGAAGCAGGACAGCATGTGCTAGTTGTTGGAGCAAGTAAATCAGCGCTCGATGTCGCATATTCGATGGTTAAACTAGGTAAGATTAGAAACGTTGTTTTATGGAATGAGAAGTTTATTGATAATCACTCTCACTCTGAAACTTTCATTCTATGAGATGTTGTTGTTTTAATTCAAATTAGGTGCACGTGTTACGTTGGTGATTAAAGAAGAAAATACACCTGGCTCTCCTGGGCCACCATGGTTTTTGCCACGTCGAATTTTATTCAATTCAAGTGATGTAGATAAAACTTTCTTTTCGCGTATCTCGTCATTATTCAGTCCAAATGTATGGTCACTTCATACATGGTCCCACTTTTTCTTACATAAAACAATACCTGGTCGATGGCTTATAAAAGGATGGTGGAAATTGCTCGAACGATATGCTCGATGGGAGGTGGGTTACGAATCAAATCAATATCTAAAAGAATTTTATCCAAAGTATGGTTTATTTTGGGCGAGTACTAATCTTGTAATAATAACTCACAATGATCTACTTGACATGATTAAAGATCAAAGAATTTGTTTGAAACGCGGAAATATTAATGCATTGAGTGAAACGAATACCGTATGCTTCACAGATGGTTCAAAGTTGAATGTTGATTTGATTATTTGGGCAACTGGATGGCATCAAAGTTCGTTATTTCAGAATTTGATTTCTTCACATAATCCAAGTCGTACAAAAGAAGAATGGCTTCAAATGGAAACCAATGCTGAACATTATCTGTTCGAACAATGTCCTACTTTAAAAGAATCACCTGTTCCTCTCTTACCATTACCATCTATGAATACCAATATTCTTTACCTTTACCGACGTTTAGTGCCTGTTGACTATATTAATGATCATTCTATTGTCTGTGTGGGAAGTTTCCTAGCATTTGGAACAGCAATGATAGCTGAAGTGCAAGCCTTATGGTCTGTTGTTTATCTTATGAACGACGGCAATGTTTTACCTGCTGATAAAGAACATGAACAAATTGAATGGGATATTGCATTAACAAACATATGGTTCAGAAGACGTTATCCACTAGTAGAACGTCATTTAAATTATACAGGTGATTTTATTCAATATATTGATTTATTATTAAATGATTTAGACTTAAAGACTCGCCGAAAATGTAATTGGTTGAGAGAAATATTTGAGCCATATATGCCTTGTGATTATAAGGGATTAGCTCAAGAATGGTTAAAACAACGGAAAGAAAACAATGGTGACAAACAGAAAGAAGAATAATGTTTATGATCTACATTGATTGTATTGACAATAGTGCTTTGTTTTTAGATTTTATATGTTTTTACTAATCATTTAAATTTAATTTTTATAAGATGAATTAGTAATAAAGCAAGTAACGCTCATCTTATGGATTCACTGACTCCTTTCTGAATGAAACCATCTTGGGGGTGGGTGTGAGTGTGATGGGGAAAAAAAGAAGTTGAGACTCGCCCCCACCCACACCCAAATTTGTGGGATAGAGAAATCAGAAGTAACAAGAAGAATTTTTTCAGTTTTAATTGATTCTATAAATTTAATACACGATTGAATATTTGTATAAAAAGTAAAAGAATTATTTATTTCATATAAATGAGTTTTAAAATCTTCTATTTCATTATCTGGATATAAACAAATAAAATTCATTTGTGCTTTATCTATTGATGACAATTCCATATTTATTCAAATTTCCGATATAAATATTGATTGTAGGAATCTAAAGTAATATTTATTTTACTTACAAATATGATGAAATAAAGAATAAATCTGTATGTTTTTATATACATATAATATCAAAAGTAAATTGATTTTTACCAAGTAACGTGAGAAGATAAAAGCTCTTACTCATCATTTTTTTATTCCCTTTTTATTATGAGTCAAAATATGTGTCCAATATATGTATTCGAGCGTGACGCAAACATGCAATTTCACATGCAATCGGTCTAGAAGCTCAATCCAAAGGTCTTGTTCCTATTTCAAATAGAACTCGATGAGCTTTATTTATAAGCAAAACTCTGACTGTTACAGCTTCTGTATCATTCCAAATATTATATTTTGAGTTGTAGGTAATGCGAATATAATACTGACTAGAGAGCGTGGAGGATAAAGAACATTTATAGTCAAAAATTGACGTTTGATTTGATTCATTTAATACATTGTGAGTATTATTTTATCACTTAACAAATAGAGGGTATGAATATACGTAAGTGGAGGATGGATGAGGATTTGTAGTTGTAACTGTACATGTTCGTCTTTCATCTACACACATACCCACATCAAGAATCTAAGTAAGAATGTCACATATTTGTACATATGAAACAAATGAAGATTGAGAAAGGGCTAAGACCAAGAGCAGTAATTTCACATCATCTGTCACAATGACAGAATTAAACGATTTACGTCAGCAGAATTTGATTTGTTCATCTATGTCAATACCATGACTATGGATTATTCACAATTGAAATATGATATTGAAAAAAGCTTCTGATGGTGGAACATGTTAATAGATGAAATATAATAAATACAAAAGATCACATCCGAACAAAATAATTTTTGATGATAATGACGACAGCAACGTTTATCGAAGGCACGTACTTGCTAAAGTTGTTGTGAGTAATAATTGCTTACAAAGTTACAGTAATAATGAAAAATTGGATGATTAAATTGAATCAAGAGTTTACAATTTAAAATCTAGATGTGTTTCTCTCTTCATCAAAGGAAATTAATATTTAGGTTGATTAAAATAGTTCCGTAGCATTTATCTATTTCAATTATAATCAGAGGCGAAATCAACTGTTTGAGGGTGTGAGTATTGATTTCGGTTTCATCTTCACACACAGCGTGGATATTAGATTTGAAACCACACATCTTTGCGCTGTTTTGGAGAAAAATTCGCCGCGTCGTCATAAACATCTTTTCTCGAGATATATTTAACGAGTTTTCACGACGAAACAAACTGAAATATTCAAAGAAAACTTCTTAAATGTTTTAATACAAAAGTTCTTAAAAAGTCATGTCTCATAGATGCTTATTGTCTAGAGAAACAAAGGACGTGACTAGAAACGAGTCCTGACAAAACAGATTTAAATAAAAAACATCAAAATAGTCATGACTCCGTCATCGACCTTAGTTATTTATTGATTATGATAGCTGATATTTTATTTTGAGTGAAGACACGTTCGATGATTAATTTTCTTTTCTCGTTATCACGTTCTTCTGTACTAATAGCAAAGGATTTTTTTACAAAATCAAAAAACTTATTTCTTCATTTCGAGTCTAAACTTCATCTTGTGTTTTTCGAAGTAAATAAAAATTGAATGAAAAATATCAGATAATATAACCAGTTCTTTTCGTTATTCAAATCTGAAATCGATTATTTTTCTTATCTTTAAGCAAAACTTTTCAAGGACAGTATTTTTCTCTTTGTATCATGTGGGAACAAAAGAATGAGAAAAAAACAAGATATATAAATGGAGAGAAAATCCACAATGAGTGTCATTTGGTTGTCTTCGAAGGCAAAGAAGAAGAAAATTATCACACCAAGTGACTGGTGTACGAAAGGAATCTTGTTGAATGATGTTGAATATTCATGTAGTCATTATCATTAATCTTCTCCTGATTCTCAGCAATACAATATCAGGTAAACATTCTTATCTATCGTACATCGAAGATGAACCATTGTACACATAACAGTATTTTGCAATGCTGTAGCTGAACAGAAGAGAGTCAAATTATAGAATGCAGAATTTGGAAGGAATTCAGTGAGATCTCTGTCATGTATTCAAACGCCGTAGTTTTAATTTTTGTCAGACTCAACTTGACTCATTCATAGAATAAATCGCGTAAGAGTGATGAGTGTGGGTGAATGTCTTCTAATTTTCAGACAAATCCACACCCTTTATATTAATCTTAATGAATTATTTCTAAAAAAATAAATCAATCGCTTCATTTCAACCAGTTTTCTTCATATTTTATTTCTTCTTTCACGTTTTTAGCTCTTTCATTCAATCAACCAAAATTCTGTCCAACAGCCGTTTGGGATCCTAATGAAATCGTTTTCGCTAATCAGTCGATTGTTCAGGAATATGATTTTACCATTTTTGTGGATACAAACAACACAATCTATGCTCTAAATCAAAAAAACAGCACAATTTTATTATGGCATGAAGATAGTATCATTCCAACAAAAATTATTCCCGGCAACTTTACAAATCCTAACTCTTTCTTCGTGACATCGAATGGTGATATTTATGTGAGTGCCAGTGAATATAGAAATGGTCGAGTGCAGAAATGGATAGCAGAGACAAATATCTTTGTCACGGTGATGTATGTTAACTCCTCATGTTATGGTTTGTTTGTCGATATTAATGATACTCTTTACTGTTCAATGTTTGATGATAACCAAGTTGTGAAAAGATCGCTGAATGATCCCGTGGATACATCGCCGCATGTTGTTGCTGGAACAGGTGTTACAGGAACAGCCTCGTATGAATTTCATGGTCCTTCTGGACTCTTTGTTGATACGAACTTAGACTTATATGTGGCAGATTATGAAAATCATCGAGTTCAGTTGTTTCAGTACGGAGAATCAAATGGAACCACAGTGGCTGGACTTCAATCACTAAATCCAACAATTTCTCTTCATAATCCAACTGTAATTAACTTAGATGCGGAGAAATATTTATTTATCATGGATTATTTTCAAGAACGCATCGTTGGTTCAGGCTCGTATGGTTTTCGATGTTTAGTTGGATGCCACGGAGAGGAACCAGAATCCTATTCATTGGCCCGCAATAGTTTTTATTTCGATCGCTCTGGGAATATGTTTGTTGCTGGTAGAATAAAAATTCAAAAATTTCAATATTTGGAAGAATCGTGTAGTAAGTTTAAACTAATCGAATATAGTGTTCCACATAATTTCAATTAATATTTATTTAGAGAAAATTGAGAAGAAAAGCGTAGGTAGAAGATGAGGCTGAAAATGGTACTCCTGACACATATCGGCTAAATCATCGAATAATTGAAATAAATTTTCGAATTTGATACTAATGTACTGCTATTAAAACTCTAAATATGTGCTTATTCACAACTATCGATAAAACTAAATTGATAGCGTATTCGTTTTATTAGTTGCATAATAAAGACGGAAGTTAGAATATATATGCACTTAGTAGAAGAGTCAGAAGTAGACTGAGTCCTTGCCAGTGAACTATTTACTAATATGCGGTGCAAAAGTCTTTGCACAAATTTCAAGCTTCAGTTTGGTCATTTAACAACCTAGAGAGCTGCGTTTTGTAATTAGAAAGAGTATGAGAGATACTATAACAAAATGTATTTATAAAACGGAATAGAGTTCTTTTTGCAACATGGTCCGAAGCTTTTTTCGAACACCTTCTACCATATCTTGTACCATTTTTTGATCAAGTTATTTTGCTTTCTGTTTGATCCTTCAGATCAGTGCATCCAAATTTCCTGCTTCCCAAGTGTGCTCATATACTTTTCTTTCAATTAGAATTCAGATGGTTTCGAAAGGACGAGCCTGACGTACGTTTGAAGGATTATCTTCAGGACGAACCCAGGCAAACGTCAAACGGTAAAAATGGCGTTTAAACGTGTTTAAGAAGCGTTTTTATCGTCAAAAGGCGTTTAAGCGCGTTTATCTGTAGAATTTTCTCTCTTTACCTATTTTTTTACAGTTGAGGGTGAGAGTTTGTTTTCTGTATCTGTTTCACATCCACACCCACACTCAAGATGCCGCATAGTTTATTATCATGTTTAGTGGTATCGTTAAAAGAACTGAGACTCTACATTGTATTTACAAAATAACAAAAGTTTGAAGATAAAAGTGGCATTGAAGAAGTGAACAGTTTGACAGTTTTATAATCTATCAGATTCTCAGGTCGAAACAACACCAGTTTTTGTATATGATGTTTTCCTGTTAAAACAATGTAGGAATATAATCAGATAAAAAACGATTATAATCACAAATATTGGTGAAAGATCAGATTAACGGTGAAATTTTGCCTTTTTCGATTATTTTTGATTTTAATCTGATCATACCTCTAGTTTATTTTTACATGGATTATAACATATCTTTATAGTTATTACTAGCAGAGACCCGTGCAAAATGCACGCCAGCTGTCATCAATAACGGTGTTTTTCATGAAAGGCAAGCCGACTATCAGAGCTACGCCTTACGCCTACACCACCCACTCCAAACCATTTTCGCTTTCTCTAACCTCCTTCAAACCTATTCCGCTGACTAACACCCAGTCCCATCCACTTTCCTCCATATTTAGCTTGTTCCACTGATTTTCCCCGACTCCTACGCTATTTCATTCGCTTTCACCCACTTCTACCCCAGTTCACCCATTTCCATCCACTTCTATCTATTCCACCAAATTCCACTCACTCTTACTCTATTTCACCCATTTCTACCCTTCTTCACGCACTTCCACCTACTTCTACCCTATTTCACCCATTTTCACCCACTTCTACCCATCCTAGTCATATTTCACCCACTTTCACCCACTTCTACCCACCCTAATCCTAATTCACTCACTTCCACTCGTTCCACCCACTCTCAAGCTACATGGAGCCTAATTGATGTTTTTTTAACCTTTGCCCTTTAACCCGGTAACACACAGACACACACTCAACATTATAATATAGATTGGGACTTATCTTAGAAGGAACACGTGTATTTGAAGGGTTAAAAGCGATATTCATTGTAAGGACGTTAATTAGATATTGTATGTCATGTTTTCTACATTTCTTCATTAAAAAATTATTCTATAGTCAACTATTAATCAGTCATTACTAAAGATAGCATAAAACGTAAACTAAGAATATGCGCAATCTTTTCATCTCTTTATTCTAAACGCAAATACTAATTTTGTTTTCGTTCATTAGATGATTCATTGGTTGTAAAATCAATTTATAAATCAGCAATTACATCGAATAGCCCCACTTATTTCCATCGTTGTACAACATCAAGCTCTTATTATGAAGCGATACAAATCAACACCACTATAACTGGCGCTTATATTTTTTTAATCAAAAGTGAAATGACATCCATATTTAGTTATATCCATCAAAATAGTTTCGATCCATTCAATGTGTCCAAAGATGCGATCATACATTATATACAAAATCAATTCGATTATCAATGTTCCCTCCAACCGACTGAGATTTTTCATCTTCAAGCCAATATGACATACGTATTCATAATGACAGCATGTTTCTCAAACATAACAGGAAACTATTCAATTGAAGTATTTGGCCCAAATCATGTCAGTTTTAATCGTAATGGTGAGTATCTATAGTATGTTAATGGACAATCAGGCGTACATATCTATTATCGGTACAAAATATAGATAATTCAACCCCCAACACGAAATGGTGTAGATATTTCTGTTTGATAGAAAATGATATTCGTAACAATATTTTTTCGAGTCCGATCTTCCTATTATCGACATTCTGTATAGGATGTAATTAAACTAGTACACTTCCATTTATAATTTGAAATATAAATGATCTCATAAAATATCTTGTACCATCTTGGAAGTGAAAGTATAGTGATCATCATTTACACCAGCATTCAAACCGCCTTCGTCTACTTGAAGGAAATATATCGAAAAGGAAAACTAAACTACTAAGTTGTTCATACATATGTCCATTTGATACGAAATGTAATTGATTTTTATTTTCTCTAGTGAATAGTGCATCAGTTATTTTATCCACCTATGCATCAAATATAACATCAAATAATTCATATTATTTCTTGGGATGTCTAATGCAGGCTACATACAACGAAATGATACAAGTAAATGTCCTCATAAGTGGCGCTTATAGTTTCTACAGCACAAGTATACGGGGCCTATCCATTTCTATTTATAAGGAATATTTCAATCTAGTCACTCGAAATGTAAGTTCACTCGCATCCAGCACTTCACCCTCCAAGACAGCTCCATTTCAATTCACAATTACTCTTGACACCAGCACTACATATATCCTGGTTGTGGGAACTACCTTGGTAACACGTCCGAATAGATTTCAGATCCTTGTTGTTGGTCCAAGTATTGTTTATTTCAAGAGTATTAGTGAGTATTTCCACTGTACCTAGTGTGTAGATATCTGTCAACATTAGCAGGAGAATTCAGTTGAGTTTGGCATGCTCAAACGAAAGACTTGTTTTGCAAGAAGACAAATTTACTGTCATAATAAAGCTGTATTTATATGATCCCATTAAATCATCAAATAATGGAATACTACATGAACAAAAATGATTGCAACATGGCATATTCTGCCGATATTTTAGCATCGATAAATCGAATAACATTGAATTTTGTTTTAAAAAGATGCGCTGTAAAATTCTTTACAGGAATGACCATACAAACTTCAATGAAGGTCTTATAATAACTTTTTTATAAGAGTAAAACTTAAGTCCTGTAAAGTAGTGAAATGTCACACGATATAAAATATTTG